TTAACTCATAACTGAGTAAAAAATTCTTATTTCACAGAATCACCCTAAATATTTTCGGCATTGTCAATGTCTGTATAGATGGCATTTGTGTTCCTTCCTAAAAGAAAGGCTAGGAACAGGAAACATCCCTCCCCAGATCATAGAATCATAGAATGGTCTGAGTTGAAAAGGACCACAATGATCATCTCGTTTCAACCCCCTGCTACGTGCAGGTCACCAACCAGCAGCCCAGGCTGCCCAGAGCCACATCCAGCCTGGCCTTGAATGCCTGCAGGGATGGGGCATCCACAGCCTCCTTGGGCAACCTGTTCCAGTGCCTCACCACCCTCTGGGTAAAAAACTTCCTCCTGACATCTAGCTTAAATCTCCATTGTCTTAGTTTAAAGATCAGTTTTATTTTCAAAGCAAACAGCATTTCAGCGTAAAAGCTACTTGCAGGTCAGCTTTTACATGCTTTGCCCACAGCACCTACAGCTACAGAAGCCAATCAGCACCGAAGAAAGGAACAACATCCTGAGCAAAGACTGGGAAGACTCAACAGAGGGACGTGGCACACCACGATTCCAAATTCATTGCACAGAAAAGATGAACCTGGATCCGATTTGCCCACCCAGCATGAGGGACCATCCAGTCTGGAATTCCAAGAGACAAGATTTCAAAAGTCAGCTGATAGGAAAGTAATGCCAAAGCCTTGTCTCTGTGAACACACAAAGGTAGCACTAGGTTGGCCAATTTTGACAAGCAAGGAAGGTCCAGACTCTAGGGGTCCTAGAGATCCCTCTAGGAGTTTAGGCTCTAATTACACATACATGGTAAAGAAGTTATGTAATAAATTACAGCAGTGGCACAGAGAAGGGAAGGCAAAGAGCTAATCCCCTCTCAAAGAAAGCTCAGTCACTGCCACTCTACAAAGTCAATCTATGGCTCTGGATGTTGTGATATGATAACATTATGGTTCACCTCCTTGAAGAGAGTCTCAGGGAAAGAGCCTGACACAGCTCATAAGCAATGTTTTCTTTCAGAATGAGGAAAACTGCATGTTTCCTCAATGCTGAAAGGCCGAGTTGATCTATTCCACTTTCTCAGCACCACCCCACCCACACACTCTTTTTTTTGCCCAGCAGAGAAGCACACTTCATTACTGGGGAATGATTCACTGTCTGTGACTGTCTCTTCTCA